CTTTAAAGACTTAGCAGGCCTTAGTGGCAGGTTCCTCTTTAGAGAAGATATCTGATAACGTGAAGTTGATCAAAGAGTTTAAATAGGCAATCTTATAGTTGGGTTACAGGTATGGCATCTAGTGTAGATCTAGGATAGGCAGACTACTTAAATAGGCACTCAAAAGGCACAGATATGGCTAGAATATACTTTCGTTAATATAACAAGATTAGGCACTATCTATGTGACTATGCTGGTATCAAACAAAAAGTTTAATAAACCATACCAGACCTGTGAGTGGTCACCTTAACATTTAAAAAAAAAAAAAAAAAAAGCACTATGCGATTACCGTTACTTGTATATATATATACATGTGAAATTATATACTACTTAAACTATCTTTTAAAGTTTAATTTTACTATTTTTATATATTATAAAATAATATAATTTGATTGGCTATCAACTTGCTGCAGCATAAAAAATTTTGAATTTTCTATTTTCAGACCCTGTTAAATATAAAAACTGTAATTCTATATATTAATAAAAGTTCTTTAAGCAATTTTACTATATAATTGCTTAAATCTGAACCCTAATCTAAACACTAATCCAAATATAAGCAAACTTAAAGAATTTTTCATTATTCAAAATTGTTTATAGTTTCTAAGATCTGTTCAGCATTATTCTGATTGGCTAATTTTTGTAGATTACCTGATGATGTAACAAAATTCTAATTGGCTAATAGAAAACAGGTTTGAAATAAAAATTTTAGACAAAAAGATATATTTAAACTATAAACTTGATCTTTATAATTATTATTAAATATGAATTTGGTTAAATTTAATAAAAAAAAGTTTGTAAATTTAAATACATGGATAATCTTTAGTAATAAAATTGCTTTTTAACTAGTATGATATATAGAAATTAAAACCGTTTAATTATTTAAAAATTGCTCTATAATTCCAAGCAAAATTATGTTAGTCATGGACCAGAATTATCTTAATGCCAGCCATATTAAATAATTAAATGATTAAATGATTAAAAATTTTAGATGGTTCCAATTTCTACTAGTATATAGTTTAATAACAAGCTAAGGAATAAATAGTTATAAATAAGTTAAAAAAATCTATCAACTATTAATAAAGGTAATATACATATATAAATAAAATTTTTCTGTTTTTTAAAGAAAATTTAAAATTTTTTGATAAATATTTTTTAGTGTTCTCTTTAGTATTAGAGGTAGGATTTAGAGTTAGGTTTATTAATAAATGAGTATATGTGGGTTTTATAGGCTCTAAGGGTAGACATGAGAGGTTCTCAGTTTTATTTTGATCAGATTTTATTTTAATCTGTAATAATATATAATAAAAATTATAACAAAAACATATAAATTTATTATAAACTTTAAGCTTAAGATCCCTTTCACTTTTTTGAATGTGTACCAGATTTGTAATATAGAAAAAATTCTTCGAAGTTCATTTATATTAGGATTAGAGTTTAGGTTAGAGTGTTTATATAGTAAGGTCATACAAACTTAATAAATTAGTTCTCATAACTTGGCCAGGTTAAATTTTACAAAACTTTTAAAAAAAAATTTTAAGTCTATTTATTATCTGGGTAAGTTATTCTAAAAAAATTAATAAAAAATTATATATTTTTTTTATATATAAAATTTTTTGAAAATAAAATTAAAAGCCAGGTTGCCAGGTTACTTTCAAAATTTTATATTATGAGAACCTATTTATTAAGTTTGGTGAAAACTTTTTGTTAAAGCACTAAAGGTGATTTTTTATACAAATTTTCAAGAAATAGATGATTCTGATGAAATAAATGTTTGTTTTGAATCTTCTTAATCGTATTATATTACATCTGATTTTGAAATCTGATTTGTAGTTCAAAATATTTGCGTTACAAGCCTGACATATATTCAAGGTATGCATCTTTTTCAACTTACAAATTAACTTATTTTCAAATTTTAAAGTTAAACATATCAAGAATAGTAGAATAAGATTACTTAAAATAACTTTTTAAAATTTTATAAAAATTGATGATTTTTACTAGTAAAATTTTATAAAAAAAAATTTTTTTTTGTTTTTAATATTAAGGTGACCACTTTGGGGTCTGGCACGTTTTATTAAACTTTGGATCGAATGCCAGGGCAGCCACAGGGCTACCCCTGACTTTGTTACATTAACGAGGATACATACTAGCCATATGTACAACTTTTGGTTGTCTATTTAAGCAGTCTTGCATATGTAACCCATATGAACTACACTAGATGTTGTACCTGTAACCTACTATTACTTGAGCTACACAATTAAACTCTCTAATCAATTTAGTGCTATCGGAATATTCTTTCCAAAGAGAGAACTGCCACTAAGGCCCCTTAGGACTACTTTATCTTCGTGGTAAACCTACTAGAGCGGTCCATGTCCCATACATGTATTATCTAGATTTTCAGTAACTTACACCTAGGCCGCGGCCAAGTACTTGCGACTTTTTACTTCCGCTACCATTATCTACTCTGTGCTTTTGCAAAGTTCACCTAAACCCCAGCACCCACTTTACGGACTATCAACAGTACTTCGATGCCAACCGTCAGTGCCCCAAACTTCCAATCCAGATGGCCCGTGAGAGACCAGTGGGTGTCCTCTGGTATTCTGAATGAATCTTTTTTTATCCGGCTGATCTGACAGCCTGGTTGGTGTAGTGCTTGCTAAACACTCGATCCTCGTTCAGTTTGCTTACGGTGTCTGGTTTCCCAGATGATAATCCTTTATGTAGTGCCGTCAAAGATCTGTGCTACCTCTTTACTCGGGACTTCCCAAGCGAGCTTCTGTATCCCCGATCCTTTGGATTTATTTGGCTACTTCACTTGGGTTTCGTGTAATTCATGCATCACACTACGTTTCACAACCTCCCAATACGAGTTGGTAAGACCAAAGTCACAGGTGTTTATCTGATCGATATATCATACAGTTTTACCGTAATGCATTTCTGCAAATTCGAATTTTGTCGTCAGTGGGATTCGAACTCATGTCCTGCCACTTGGAGGTGCAACAACTTACCAACTACACTAAGTCACCACACCCTTTTATAAAAAAAAATTTACTAATTTTAAGAATATAATTATATATAAATTTTATGTTGAACAAGTTGACTTAAAAAACAAAAATAAATTGCCTTAATAGAAAAAAAGTTTGTTATAAATAAACTTCAAAATTTTATATTTTTTTTATATAAAACTTTTTTTTATTAAGATAATCTATTTTTGTCTTCTAAGTAAATTTGTTTAGCTCAAAAGTTTACATATTTTATATCTTGCCAAATTTCATTTTTTGAACTTTTTATTAAATAAAAAACTGAGTTAAAATTTTTTAATAAAAAAGGATATTCTATAAAGAATTTTACTAACTATAACCAGCAGTGATCATCACCATTATATAATTAGTCAATAAAATTGCAAAATCAGGTATAACATACAAATTAATTTGTGTAACCAAAATAAAGATTTTTTTAAAAATGCTGATATTTCAAGAATTCGCTTATAAAACTACTTTCAACATTCTAACAAAAAAATTTCTCACTAAATTTCGCATATATCTAACACCTTGCTAAAATCCCAAGCCTTACCCTAAACCTAAAGTAAATGAAATGAAATATTTTTTTAGTTTATTGTTATTGGTTAATTATACATTAATAATGATCACTGCTGGTTATTTTAAGTAAAAACCTTCTATAAAATAGGTGGGCAATATAAAAAATAAGCTTCATTATAATGATTAGTAATCATTAATTTTTTAATAGCGAAATTGTGGAAGTTGCAGTTTTTCTACCTATTCTATAAAACATCTATAAAAAATTCAAAAAAAAAAATTTAAAAAAACACAATATATATAAAATTTTGTGCTAACAAATTCACTTAGAAGACAAAAATAGATTATCTTTATAAAAAAAAAGTTATATATATATAAACATAAAATTTTAAAGTTTATTTATAACAAATTTTTTTTTACTAAAACAACCTATTTTTGTCTTTAAAGCCAACTTGTTTAGTATAAAATTTTACATATACAGTAATTACATTCTCAAAATTAGTAAAATTTTTTTTTTATAAAATTTTACTAGTAAATCATTTCAAAATTTGAAAATAAATTAATTTGTAAGTTGGAAAGAATTTTAAGCTTAAAGTTTATAGTAAATTTATATGTTTTTATTATAATTTTTATTAGGAAAAATGTATTTGTTGCCGGCGGTGACAGTACCAGAGTGTGATCAACCAATACGTTATAATCAAAACAAAAACAATGCGTCAAAACTTACTATCATTAGGGTTGAGGTTAGAGCCATAGTTAAGGTTCGGGTAGGGCATATAGTAAAATTTTGCAAGGAATTTTTGTTAGAATGTAAAAAGTGGTTTCATAGATGAAATTTCGAGATAACGGCGATTTTTTAAAAAAATCAGTTTTTACATTTTTCACGTTACACATGATCCTGTGATCTAATTGGTCGATCACACTCCGGTACTGTCACCGCCGGCGACAAATAGATTCGCTCTTTTTATTAAAGTGTAGTTCCTTTGGCCAATTCGTTTAAAGTCAGATGTGTAATATGTGACGATCATTTAGTGATTGACCAATCAGAATTGAAGCCCTGCTATGCCAGGAATTTAGTCATTAATACTGTAATAAAAGAGCATAGCGAGCTGTCATCTGATATAAATTTTATGGTCCTTACCAAATTTCAGCATCACCCGATTTTTGCATAACTGCCTTAGTGTTATCAACTTGAAAAAATTTCCCTATTAAGTTGGGATAAAAAAGTGCTTTAATACGTAGCAGAAAATTTTGCAAAGTTGAAGTAAGGTAACGACAGAGTTACCAACGCTATGGAAGTTTTGACCAGCATTATTCACATGATGAAACTTACACAAATTATTATAATGCCAGCCAACGCTAGACTGATATATAGTCCTTAGGCCGACTCTTATTTCTGCTAAGCATCAAAAAGACTAGATAACGATAATGCAACAGCCACCACAACAAGAACGTTCGCCGACAGAATTTCTAAGTAATGTTATTGGTAGACCTGTCGTAGTCAAGTTGAATTCTGGGGTGGACTATCGAGGTATTTTTGAATGGTTTATTACGGTGTATTCATGTTTATGATTCATCTCGCGTATTAATTTTTTTTTATAAACTT